ATTGATGGGCATCCCCTTAATTTCCAATTCTTTGCCACTGCTATAATCTCTTTGGGATACAGCCCTAGAAGTGCTATTGCTGGGTCAAAGGGTATGCACATTTTTATAGCCCTTTGGGCGTAGTTCCAAATTGCTCTCCAAAATGGTTGGATCAGTTCACAACTCCACCAGCAATGCATTAGTGTTCCAGTTTTCCCACATCTTCTCCAACATTTATCGTTTTCCTGTTTTGCCATGTTAGCCAATCTGATAGGTGTGATACCACTGGAGTTTCTTGAGAGTGACTCAGTCAGGTCTGTGCTTTAGGGTGGTGACTTTGGCAGCCAAGACTCGAGGCAAGGAGACCAATTGGGAGGCCATCATACCAGTCAAGGTGAAGGGTGTTGAGGGCCTGCACTAGCAGAGTCTCCAGGTAAATAGAGAGGAAGGAACATCATGAATGTGGGAGCCAGGAGGGCTTTTAGTACTCATGTAGCCCAGCCCCCTCATCTTGGACGGGAATAGGATGGCGTGCCCCATGTCTCAGGCCTGGAGAGCCACACGCTCACACCACCCCACACTGCCTGAGGTATTTCATTTCAGGACTCTTGCTTAATTTTAAGCAAATGGCCTTTACCCAAGCACGTTTAGGTGGAGTGACTTGGGCTCCTGAGGCCTGGGGACCAGAGCTTAGCTCTGTTAACTTGAGCACTCCCATCTGAAGCAGAACAAGGAACAGATTAGAAGGGGAATTTAACCCCCTCTTCTCCCTATCCTGCCTCTGCCTCCCCCTTTGCCAACTTTGGCTCTTTCTCTGAGCACTGCAGAGAAATCGTCTGCTGAAGCTGGAGGCCCAGGACCCCTCCTCCTTGAGAAGGTCTGTTGGAAAGTCCTGATAGGCGTATTGGCATCTGCTGGGAATCCTATCTCAAATCGGGCCTCTCACCTGGATTACAGCTAGGTCTAAGGAAGCAACTCATACAGCTTATTTCCACTGGGCTGGAAGTGTTACTAAATTCTACAGGATTGTAACAATGTCGTTGCATAATGGTAACTTGGAGTGGTGTGAATTTGCATGCTTGTGACCACTTCAGGGAATTCATCCTTTGCCCCCCAATGATGACAAGGCTGTATGACTGTGGCCTCCTGGCCTGGCCCCCTCCACTCAGCCATCACCCTGAGGAACAGCAATTCAGCCATGTGCTATAGGGCCTGCCAAGGGGGGGCAGTGGATGGAGTCTGGAAGACCAGTAACCATCGTGGGGATAATAAGAACGCCTCTCCTCCCAGGGCTCTTGTGGGCATCAGATGGGACAATATCTGTCAATGGCGCTCTACAGACCTGACAATGCCATATTATAAATGCTTCTTCTGAAGTCATTTCAGTTGTGTCCAACTCTTTGTGACCCCACTTTGGAATTTTCTTGGCAAAGATACTGGAGTGGTTTGCCATTTCCTTCTCCAGCACATTTTATAGATGAGGAAACTGAGGCAAATAGGGTGAAGCGACTTACCCAGGGTCACCCAGTTAGGAAGTGTCTGAGGCTAGATTTGAACTCAGGTCTTCCTGACTCCAGGCCTGGCACTCTATCCACTCTACCGCCTAGCAGCCCGTTATAAATGCTAGCTATTATTATTCAAGAATCTCTAGTAATTCCTTGATACTAGTAGTATTTAAAGTCATTCCCAATCTGACTCTGACCTATCTTTCCAACCTTATTAATAATAGTAGTAATAATAACTAGCCTTGATACAGTGCTTTAAGCATTTGCTCTCTACAGATATATCTCATTTGATTTTCACAACAATCCCGAGAGGTAGGTGATGTTATTATCTTACTATCCCCTGTTATACAGTTGAGGAAACTGAGGCAGAGAATGCTTAAGTGACTTGCTTAAGTAGGGTCATGTAACTAAGAAGTATCTGAGGCTAGATTCAAACTCAGGTCTTCCTGACTCCAGCACTCTACCCATTGCACCACCTTAGCAAACCCTACAATCCCACCAAACAGCCCACCTTACTGTTCCTCATGAACAATGTTTTGTCTCTTGGTTATTTCCTTACAAGGACTGCTCGTCATGCTCTGTTAGAGTGGGAGCCCCTTGTGGGCAGGGGCTGTCTTTTAGCTTCTTTTTTTTTTTTTTTTTTTGGCTAGGCAATGGGTTAAGTGACTTGCCCAGGATCACACAGCTAGTAAGTGTTACGTGTCTGAAGCCAGATTTGAACTCAGGTTCTACTGACTCCAGGGCCGGTGCTCCATCCACTGCGCCACCTAGCTGCCCCTTTAGCTCTTTTTGTGTCTCTATCACACAGTGCCTAGTGCTTCATCAGTGTTTACTGCCTCACTAGAGTTCTCTCCCCATCTCTCAGGATACCCAGTTTCCTTCGAACCCAAGCTCAGTGAACTCCACTTTGTACACAAAGCATCTCTTGATCTCATCCTGGCTGCTAGTGTCCTCCTGAATTACTTGGCATCATATGTGTGTGTGTGTGTGTTTATATATGTATGTATGTATATAGGTATATGTGTGTGTATATATGTATATCTACATATATATACACATACACACACACCTGTAGGGAAGCATATTAAAAATCTGTTTTTGTCACCTCTGCCGTGACCCAGCAGATCTGGGTGGGACATAATCTGCTTTAGTTTCTCTAGAAATATTAAGAAATAATATTTCTCTCCAAAACCTTTTACGGACCCCTGGGAAAAGCCCCTTGGAAAGGTAATGGGGATAGATCAGGACCCAAGGGAAGGGAGCCTTTCATCAGAGGAATGGATTAAGGTTGATAGCCAGAAACTACACTGCCTTCCCCAACCCCGGGTGGCCATCGCCATCCTTCCCTTAAGGACAATCCCCTTTTCTGACTCCCAGGAAGTAGTAATCCAGGGCCAACCCTACTTCCCTCTGAACTCAAAATGCCTCCTGTTCCATTTGGATACAGGATCTGTGGGAGGAACCCCGCAGATTCCTCTGAGACTGTGAGGGAGGAGGGAGATAGAGATGTGGCTGCTGACTGCTCATTTTGGGAGATTTGGTTAACCCAGGCTCTATTTTTAGACCTTTTTGTTCAAGATTCCTTGTTCAAGATTCCTCTACATGTTTGCTGAAACAAGGCACGTCAGAGGGCACGTGGGGGATTACGCTAGTTTGGACATTTCTCTCTCCAACACAGAAATGGCTTGGAAATAGGCTAACGTTAAATTAAATAAAACTTTATGGCAGATTGGTGCCTAATCACAGAGCAGAGCATTAGAATAAATGAAACACAGTGGACAGAGCTCTGGGCCCTGAGTCAAGAAGACCTGAATTCAAATCCAGCTTCAGATACTTAATAGCTGTGTGACCTAGAGCAAGTCACTTAGCCACCACCTGCCTCAGTTTCCTCAACTGTAAAATGGGGATAATAACAGCACCTATCTCCCAAGGCTGTTGTAAGGATCAAATGAGATAATAATTGTAAACACTTAGGACAATGCCTGGCACGTGGCTTTATAGAAATGTTGTTTTTATTATTATGGTGTTTTTATAAACTTAAAATGCTGCATAAATGCCATTATTCATATTTTTTCTTAGACACATCTGTATGTTAGTGCTGTCTCCTCTTCAAGAACATAAGCTCCTTGAGGGCAAGAACTGTTTCATTCTTTGTCTTTGGATCCTCACGCTCTGGAGCACAGCGCTTGGCATTTTGTATTTATTTGGTCCTTTTTTCAGTTGTGCCCAACTCTTCATGACCCCATTTGGGGTTTTCTTGGTGAAGACACTGGAGTGATTTGCCATTTCCTTCTCCAGCTCATTTGACAGATGAGGAAACTGAGGCAGGCAGGGTGAAGTGACTTGCCCAGGGTCACCCAGCTAGGAAGTGTCTGAGGCTGGATTTGAACTCAGGACGATGAGTCTTCCTGATTCTAGTCCCAGTGCTCTCACTGAGCCACCTAGCTGTGGGCATTCCATAAACGCTTGCTGATTGATCGATTGATCTGGTTGTTCATTATCTTACAAACATCTGCTAAGAGAGCAGTTTCCATTGATTCACACTGGAGTAAAGGATCACTGGAGAGATAGTTGCAAAGGGGCAGGACCTGGGGGTCAAAGGACCTGGATTTGAATCCCAGCCTCTGGGCTTTGGAGAAGAGGTTGAGGACGGACAGGATGGCCTTTGAGGTCCCTGGCAGCTCCACATCGACCCGCTGTGAGCCTGTGGACCTAAGACTTAAGGTGTTTGTCACCTTCCCTTCTGTGCAGGGAAAGGATAGACTTAGATGTGAAGGTGACCTAAGAACAAAAGAGAATTTCTACTTTTTTTTTGGTTTGTTTTTGTTTTTGGCGAGGCAGTTGAGGTTAAGTGACTTACTCAGGGTCACACAGCTAAGTAAGTGTCAAGTATCTGAGGCCACATTTGAACTCAGGTCCTCCTTACTCCAGAAACAGTGCTCTATCCACAGCGCTGCCTAGCTGCCCCAAAACAAAGTTTTTTTGTTTTGTTTTCTTGGGGGGGGGGTTGGCTTTTTTGGAGGGGGTGAGGCAATTGGGGTTAAGTGACTTGCCCAGGGTCACACGGCTAGTAAGTGTCAAGTATCTGGTCTGAGGCCACGTTTGAACTCAGGTCCTCCTTAGCAATCATTTCTCATGAAGGACTAGAATAAGATTCAATAGAGCCCAGTTACCAGTGTCTGAATGGAAGAAAACACTCTCACCAATGGCCAGGTGGCGAGTTGTAGTGGATAAGGATCAGATGTGAGGGTCAAATGAGATAATAATTGTAAAGCACTTTAGCACAGTGCCTGGTGCACAGTAGGTGCTATATAAATGCTTATCACCTCCCTCCCCTAAATTCATGCTCATGTGCTGAGCTAAAAGGGTTTCTTTTGTTCCGAAGAAGAGTCCTCTGTGTATGGACTGATGTTCACCTAGGTTCACATCCAGACCACCTCTGTTGTGACCCAGCAGATCTGGGTGAGACATAAATGCACCTGTCCCCCTTCTCTCTCTCTCTTTTTTCCCCTCCAGAGGACCTGTCTGACAATGAGGAGCCATTCCCCAAGGAAATCACTAAATGGAGCTCAGATGACCTTATGGACAAGATCGAAACCCCTGAATCAGATGGTAATGAGCAGCTGTGCCCTCTGCCTTCAGCTTGGTCAGTGACAGGGAGATGGGTGGAAGTCAGGCTCTCTCTCTCTCTCTCTCTCTCTCTCTCTCTCTTTCTCTGTCTCTGTCTCTGTCTCTCCCTCCCTCCCTCTCCCTCTCTCCTCTCTCCTCTCTCTCTCTTCCTCCTTCTGTCTCTCTCTCTCCCCCTTTGTTCTCTCTCTCTCTGTCTCTCTCCCTTTCACCTTCTCTCTCTCTCTCTCCCCTTGTTCTCTCTCTCTCTCTCTGTCTCTCTCCCTCCCTCTCTCTCATATCTCTTTCTCTCTCTTTCTGTTTTTGTTCCAGCGCCTGTGCTCACCGCTCCCCCATGGACAGAGTTGCGTGAGGTTACAAGTCCGGCAGTCCTTGGTATGACTGGGCCGTTGATGGCTCTGCCACCCTGGGAATAAAGTTGCCGAGGGTGGAGGGGGGCTCGGGAGGGGCAGGAGCTTTGGGGCCCGGCTCCCTGCCCCGACACACACATACACCCAGAGTCTCCCAGCATCCTCTGGTCACACTGGGGGCTGGTTTTGTGTTGCAGACAATCTGTACACTGAGCCAACAGCCAATGAATATTCGGAAGCCAGCAATGAGGAGCAACTGAACCTTGCCGAGGTGAGCCTCTGGAGGTGGGGGTGGTGGGGCTGAAGGCTGCGTCCTCCCCACTGGGGATGCGCCACGGGGCCTCCGGAGCTGGAGGGGACCTCAGGGGCTGCCCTGCACCTGGACGACGACCCCAAGCCCCATCTTGAAGGCCACCAGGGATGGGCAGTCGTAGGCTCATGGCTGAAGACCTGGAAGGGGCCTCTGGCCATCAGGACCAACCCACTCAATGTACAGATGAGGAAACCCGGGCCCAGAGAGGTGGAGGAACTCCCCCAAACCACATAGGTAGTAAGTCGCCAAGCATGCAAAGCCATCCAAACCCGTATTTGCAACTGGTCTTGTTTTTAGCAAGTTTTTTCTTTCAAGGCAGCTAGGCAGCTCTCCACACAGTGGATAGAAGACTGGGTCTGGGGTCAGGAAGACCCAGGCTCAAATCCAGCCTCAGACAACTTACTAAGCCGTGTGACACTGGGCAAGTCACTTCACCTCTGCCTTGGTTTCCTCACCTGTAAAATAGAGACCTATAGCACCTACATCACGGAGTTGTGAGCATCCAGCAATGTTGTGAGGCTGGCACATAGTAGGTGTTTAATAAATGCTTGTCCCTAGCCTATTGCTTTCTGTGGATCCTAAATCTACCTGTACAACTTCTACCCATTGCTGCCAGTTCTGCCCCCTCGGCTAAGCAGAATAGACCCAGTCTTGCTTCCCATATGACAGCCCCGACCCTCAAGTTGCTCCACAGCTGACTCTGGGTTTGTAACTTCGTCCCCTAGCATCCATTTTTGGGGGGTTTTGCTTGTTTATCTGTTTTTGCACATATGCTGGGTGTGGACAGGTGACATACCCAACGTCAGATCTCTTTTTGGACTTGCAATAACCCCCAGACTCCCTACTTCCATCGGCCCCCTGCTGACTTTGCAAAGGAAAATACACACACACAGTCTGGGCAAACTGTGAAAAGGCTTTATTGGAGGTGTCTTAAGCATGCTGAAGATGCTTTATTGGAAGCACCCTAAGCAAGCGAGCCCCTTGACCCATCAAGGTCAAGAGCGTACCTTCATGTTGGCTTCTTTCCCACCGGGGCCTTGCCTCCCAGGTGGGGGCCTTCCTGGGTAAAACTCAGGTTATGATTGGAGCAGGAAGAAGCTGCCTTTGCAAACTTGGCAGGTCCGTAAGGCATGGACACATGCACTCCAGCGAACCAGCAGGGGGATTTGTCAAGAAAGTATAGTGCAAGAACCAGAGGACGGGGATGTCTTTGCTAAAGTTTTTCTTAGGGTATATGACTAACTGTGCCCTTGAAAAATTTCTGAACTTTGAGTCAAGTGATCTGAGTTCAAATCCCTGCACTGCCACTTATCAGCTGTGTGACCTGGGAGAAATCCCTGTACCTCCTCAGGCCTCAGTTTCCTCATCTGTAAAAATCATCTCTAAGGTTCCTTCTCTCTCTTTGTCTGTGATCCAAGAATCCTGTGATGTCACTAGGCTTTTGTCTCCTCATCTGCGAAATAAGGGAGTTATTCATCAAGAGTTCTTAATCTTTTCTTGTCCCAGACCCCTTCTCTGAGCAATGTCTCTAAATGCATAAAATAAAATGCGTAGGATTACAAAGGAAACTGATGACATTGAAATACCAAAATCAAAATACATTTTAAAAAAACAAATTCACAGAAGGAAACAAGCATTTATTAAGCACCTACTATGTGCCAGGCATTGTGCTAAATGCTTTACAGATATCTCTTTTGATTCTCACAACAACCCTGGAAGGTAGGTACTTTTATTATCTCCATTTTACAGATGGGGAATCTGAGGCAAACAAAGGCTAAATGACTCGCCCAGGGTCACACAGGTAGTAAGTGTCTGGGGTTGGATTTGACTCAGGTCTCTATGATTCCAGGCACAGCAGCACCCCCTCTCCCTCCCCCCTTTAAGAGCTCTTGGACTACATGATCTCTAAGGCCCCTTGTCTCTCTAAATTTATGATCCTAAAATCTCCTGTGATATGATTCTATAATCCTTTGACATGTCTGGGCCTCAGTTTCCCTAACTGTAAAATGAAAGGGTCATTATGCCAGCTGGCTTCCAAGATCCCTTTGGGCTCTAAAATCAATGTTCCCATGATCCCTCTGTCTCAGCCGAGGCAGGGCACGGGTTTGCCACCCCATCTTGCAGAGAAGCAAGTTTCCCAGCGATACCTTTGAGCTGATCTATAAATGTGAAATGATGGCTCAGGTTGGTGGCTTGGTTGTCATCTGGTTTCCAAGGTCTTACACATTGGTGACATCTTCCAGTTTTCCACAACATTTCAGAATTCCTCTGTGTGTTTTAAGTAGCCGTGGGAACGTTCCCTTGAGTGTCCTGCCTACTCAGACATATTGGTGCCCATGCGCCGGTGTTAGGTCGTTCAGGTTCTTTGTAGGCTGACCGTGTACTTTCATAGATTGTTGTATTTCATTAGTTATCTGTCTATTCATTCATTCATTTCAATTCAGATGGAAGGCAAAGTGTTAAGACTGGCTCTGGAGTAAAGGGGCCTGGGCTCAAATCCCATCTCTGATGTTTATTACCTCTGTGACCTTTTAACCTCTCTGTGCCTCAGTTTCCTCATCTGTAAAATGAAGCGGTTCAACTTGATGGTCTCTGAAGTCCCTTCCCACTCCAGATCTGTGATCCTGTTTCAGTAACCATTTATTGAGTACCTGCTGTATGCCAGCACTGTCCTAGGTTCTGGGGATAAAGACAAAGAAAAGAATCCTTGCCCTCCAGGGGCTTATATTTTACTCAGTGGATGTAGCCTATACACAGCTAATTCAAATTTGGGATGTCCTAACCCTGTGGTCTCAGGCAAGGGCTCAGTGTCTGCCTCCAGGCCGACTCTGGTAGACCCAATCGTATCTCCGAGCTAAGCTCTTTCTTTCTTTCTTTTTTTTTTTCAGATTTCTCTTTTATTTATTTATTTGTTTTTATTAATTTATTTTGCTTTATCAACAATCATTTCCATAAACTTTTGAGTTTTAAATTTTTCTTCCCCTCCTTTCCTTCCTCCCTCCCCAAGACGGCACACAATCTGATATAGGCTATCCATATACATTCCTATTAAACATATTTTCACTTTAGTGATGTTGTAAGGAAAAATTAGAACCAATAGGAGGAACCACCAGAAAGAGGAAACAAAACTCAACAGAAGAAAAAAAATAGCAACTAGTATGCTTCGATCTTCATTCAAACTCCATAGTTCTTTCTTTGGATGTAGATAGCATTTTCCATCATGAAGCCTTTGGAGATGTCTTAGATCATTGCATTGCTGAGAAGGGCTAAGTCTATCAAAGTTAGTCATTGCACAACATGGCTGTTATTGTGTACAATGTTCTCTTGGTTCTGCTCACTTCACTCAGCATCAGACCAGACAAGTCTTTCCAGGTTTTTCTGAAGTCAGCCTGCGCATCATTTCTTATAGCACAATTCCATGACATTCATATACCACAACTTGCTCAGCCATTCCCCAAATGATGGGCATTCCCTCAATTTCCAATTCTTTGCCACCACAAAAAGAGCTGCTATGAATATTTTTGGATCCTTTTCCCATTTGTATGATCTGTTTGGGATACAGCCCTAGAAGTTGGGCTAAGCTCTTGCTGTATGCCCAGAAGATACTCAATAAGTAGATGCTGAAAGTTGGACTGCACTAAACAGAATGGAGTCTTGAGGGGGACCCCTCCCGGAGGCTCTCTGCTTCCATCCTCTCCCCGCTTCAGTCCATATTCTAGTATTCCTAAAATTCTCTATCATTATTCCTCCTATCTCCCTATGGCCTTTCAGTCCAAACTTTTCTGCCTGCTCTTCAAGGCTCCTCTCTATCCGAGTTCACCCGTAGTCAATAGTCTGCACCCCTTTGTCCACTGCGCCCCATCACCTTGGTTCCCTTATTCATTCCTGCATCGGCACCTCTGTTTCCTCTTCCCAGAAGCCGGCTTCCTCCCCTTTCCCCTCAAACCTGTTCACATCTTTGGAAGCCTACCTCCTCCGCACAGACTGTTTATTTTGGATATTTTTATATGTGTATGTGATCTCCCCCAGTAGAGTGTAAGCTCCTTGGAGGCAGAAACTGTTTCTTCTTTGTATGTCTATTCCCCAGGGCTGGGTGCATAGGAGGTGCTTACTAAATGCTTACTGATTGATCAGTTGATTGGTATCAGTTGAGTTGATTTAGGCCTAGGCTAGAGATAAAGCAGGCCTATCCCTGGCCTCTGTCCTTCACTTGCAGGTTCACAGTATATAGAGTTTTGTGTAGCATCCATTGGAGTGGTCAACAAAGTTTGTTCCTGACTCACACTCTCTCTCTCTCTCTCTCTTTCTCTCTCTCTCTCTCCTCTCTCTCTCTCTCTCTCTCTCTCTCTCTCTCTCTCTCTCTCTCTCCCTCTCTCCCTCTCCCTCTCCCTCTCCCTCTCCCTCTCCCTCTCCCTCTCTCTCTCTCTCTTTCTCTCTGTTTGTGTGTGTATGTATGTATATGTATACACTCACATATACATATACATGTATACTCCCGCCTGCACTGTACACAAAGGCCAGTGTGACATGGGGGCCTGGTCTCATGGATGTCAAATAAGTCGGACTTGGGTTTATAGATTTAGAACTAGATGGAATCTCAGGACCTTCTCCAATACTGTATCCAACAAACATTTATTAAGAGCCTACTAAGTGCAGGGTGCTGTCCTATGTGCTGGGGATATATATATAAGAAGAAGAAAGTCCTTGCCCTCAGGGAGCTTACTATCTAGCACAAATCAGGAGGCAGGAAAGCGGGGGTGGGGCTACCGAGGGTCTTGCTGCATGGAGCTGAATTCAGGCAGAGCAGCAGGTGCAAAGTGGGGTGGGCCCACTGTACAGGAAGGCACTGGGAGGAGTCCCGTCCTCCACCTTCCCGGCCTCCTGTCATGAGGGAGGAGAGACTGAGGGAGGTGAGTGGTGTCGTTCAAGGCTTCAGTTAGCAGCCTGGTGGTGAGTTTAGAAAGAGGGCCATCTTGTTCAGTGGAGTTGAAGACAGAGCAGCAGATGCAAAAGCCCAACTCCAGAGTCTTCTGGATGAGGAAGCTAAGGTCAAAGCCACTTGCCCAAGGCCAGTGTCAGAACACATTAATGTGGTGACAGTGCTGAATTGAAATCAGGAGATCTGGGCTTGACTACCACCCCTGATACTGGCTGACTGAATGACACAGGGCCAAACCGCTGAACTTTCGTAAGCCTCTGTTTTGTTATCTGTAAAATGGGCATAATAAAACCTGGAATGGCAGCTTCCCTGTTCTGTCTCTGCAGTCCCAGGGCCTAGCATGGTGCCTGCCACATGGCCAGAGCCTTCATAAACACTCGTGATACCAAATTGAATTGTTGGGAGGCTCCGGTGAGCTAATGTATGTGAAGCAATTTGGAAATCTGTGAGTGCTCTCTGAGTAAATGTCAGCTGGCGTTATTATTAGAGGGATGTTTATCCTAGAAGAGAGAAGGCTTAGGGCAGAGGTGAGCAAGCTGGCACATCCAGTGGAAAAGGGACTTGCCTTGTTCTTCTTCGAGGGCAGAGTCAGGAGCCACTGATGGGGCTGGGGCTGGGCGTTGGAGCGAGTTCGAATTTAGACTTCTAAGGGTGAGAGGCATCAACAAAACTCAGATGGGCTGTAGAGACAGCTTCCCCCCCCGGATGTCACCGAGCCCAGGCTGAATGGCCACTTGTCAAGGATGGTCTAAGGACCTGTTGGATGAGGTAACCTCTGAGGTCCCTTCCTGCTCTGAGATTCAGGGATGCTGGTTCAGCCTATCCCACTCACTCGAGGAATCCTCTGGGAGCCAGGATTTTGCTCACTGAGATTTCCTCCCCTGCCCCTGTAGAAGGGAAAATCCTGAAGAGGGAAGAAGCAAAAGCAGAGCATGAAATGGAAAGGACACTGGAGTCGGGAAAGCCTGGGTTCAAATCCCTCCTCAGATACATTGCTAGCTTTGTGACCCTGGTTGAGTCACTAGCCTAAGTAAACTCTCTGGGCCTCAGTTTCCCCATCTGTAGAATAAGGGGGTTGGATTTGATGGCCTCCAGGGTCCCTTCCAGGTATAAATCTATGTCACCAGCAGTGTAAATTATTTTCCATCTATTCTTTATATATCTTACATGAACATAGTTCTTTACCTGTTGTCTCCCCTATTAAAATGTAAGCCCCTTGAAGGCAAGGACTGCTTTTTCATAAATGCTTTGTAAATGCACTGTGGGCAGGAGAGGGATGTGCCCAGGAGCCTCTGTTCTTTCCTGGGGTATGAAGACTCAAAGTTGGCTCCTTCATTCTTTGTATGGGATCTCCCCCCCAGATCGGGGGTCTTGCTTCTGTACCTCAAAAGCCATCCCCTTTCCATCTTTCTACCTTAGGAAGGTCACTTAGTGGGTCTCCATTTTCTCCTCTATAAAATGCTTCAGGGGTGGGGAACCTGCAGCCTCGAGGCCACATGTGGCCCTCTAGGTCCTCAAGTGGGGCCCTTTGATGGAATCCAAACTGTAGCCTTCTAGGTCCTCAAGTGCGGCCCTTTGACTGAATCTGTTCCCCATCACTGTAGGTGATCAGCAAGGGTCCCTTCTGTGCGTGAATCAGCTTAATAAGCATTTCTCCATCACCTCTGATATGCCAGGCATGTTACAGAGACAAAAGTGAAGCAGGTCCTGCTCTCAAGGAGCATACTTTCCACTCAGGGAATGAAATATATTTGCCACTAAGTTATCACAGGATATATACAGTAACTGGAAGGATAATAGCAACTTATTAGCTCTGATGATCTTCAATTTTACTAATGATACATAGGATGCTGGTATCCACTCTTAATCGGTGAACTGCCTGAAATGAGGAGAACTTTAACCTTAACACCTCCCTTTAGTGCCTAGCTAGGCTTATGGACTGACCTTTGCCTGTGCAATGACAGAACGTGTCCCCTTCCCTCCCTGTCCTAGGATGAGGCTAGCCCTCCGCTGGTGCAGCCCTCTAAGATTCACGTCTTGCTGCTGGTGCTACATGGTGGAAACATCCTGGACACAGGGGCTGGTGACCAGAGCTCGAAACAGGGCGATGTCAACACCATCGCCACAGCTTTTGACACAGTCATGCGCGTGCACTACCCTGCTGCCCTCGGCCGTATCACCATCAAGCTGGTGCCCTGCCCACCTATCTGCTCTGAAGCTTTTTCCCTCGTCTCCAAGTGAGTGGCAACCCAAGCCCTTTTCTCAGAGCAGAAGCTGAACTCTTTTGTTTAGTTCATGACCCTCTATGAGGTTTTCTTGGCAAGGATACTAGAGTAATTTGCCATTTCCTTCTCCAGCTCATTTTACAGATGAAAAAACTGAGGCAAACAGGGTGAAGTGACTTGCCCAGGGTCACACAGCTAGGAAGTGTCTAAGGTTGGATTTGAACTCAGGTCTTCTTGACTCCAGGCCTGGCGCTCTCTCCATTGCTCCACCTACCTGCCCTAGAATCTGAATTGGGGAAGGCCATAAGTGTTTCTAGCTTTCTCACAAGAAAAAGCCTCTCCTGGGTTCTGAGAAGACCCCAAATTTGAATCTGTACAGAAGTTCATAGCTTAGGGTCTTGTTAACCCTAAGACTGTTAGGGTTAAGACTGCTAAGACTGAGTTCCTAATCAGCTCCCCAGCCTGGGATAATGAAGACGATGGAGGTGGTGAGCCGAGTGGGAAAAGCCCTGCACTTAGCGGGCTGACCTTGGAGTTGCCAAAACGCCATTTTACTGAATCCCAGTTCTGCCACTTATTTCCCATGTGTCTTCAGGCAAACTATTTTGACTCTCTGGTCCTCAGTTTCCTCTTCTGTAAAGTGAGGGGACCACAAATTTAGAGCTGGAAGGGCCGTTAGTGGCTGACACCCCTTCAGTTGATAATGAGAAAACGAGCATGGAGAGGTCATCTACGCTCTCCCATTGCATTAGAGGCGGAGATGGGGCGGCCATCACCCTTAACCCATCTCACGAGCTAATTGGCCTGTGTACTTTCAGAGCGCAGAAGGGCTTGGCGATCTCCCCAGGAATGGGTCCTACTGGTCCTTATTCTGCGGGTCAGATTAGAGCAGTTTCACCTGAAGCCTTGAATGAGCCAGAAACCTACCAGGGAAATCCCTCTGTCCCATTGGAAAGCGTTCTAGACCTGGTCCTGTTAGAAGTCTACGCTAGGGATGGAAGACAAGATAATTGGGGAATGACCTTCATCTGCTTAGAGCCACCGAACTTCAGAGGCAACTTTGTCCAAACCCTACCTAAAAAGGAGCAGTCTCTTCTGACTCCTTGGACGCCTCTTCTAGGCCTAGGGTAGGGATAGAGGACAGTAGGACAGTGGAAAACTTTGTTTAGAATCAAAGGACCTGGGTTCAAGTCCTAACTCTGTTCCTTACTATCTACGTGACCTTGGGCACATCACTTCTCTATGGCCCTTAGTATCCTCCTCTCTAAAGGAAAAAAAAAAAGCCAGGGCTCGATGGGATTAAACTATGTGACATCTGAAGTCTCTTCCAGCTCTAAATCTTTTGAGTACAGTGGTAACTCACTACCTCCCAAGGCATCACATTCAATGCTGGGCAACTTTACTCGTTAGGAAGAATTTATCTACCCCTGCCCCCCACCTTTTTTTTCTTTTCTCTCTCCTGCACACTGGAATAAAATCTTTCAGAAATGTTTCCTTTGACCTAAAAGAGAAGTTGGGTCCCAGTAGGAGCTGAGATTCACATGAATAAAATTTCTGTTCAGTCCTTGATAGACAGATATCCTCAAATCTGGAAAAATGACAGTCTAAAGAAATAGCATAGACATTGATCAAGCAACTTCTCAGCCTGGGTAGAGGGCTGGGCAGGCTTCCTGTTGGCTGGCAAATTTAGTGGCCCATAGATGGTTGGTCCTGCTGACATCTTAAGGATTCAGGTTATAAGAATCAATCCCAGGTCCCTTTGGAATGATGTGAGAAAAGTGATGAAGCTCTCCCAACCCTTTGGCCCAGGGATCCCATTATACCCGAGAGAGGGCGAAGACAAAAAATGAAGGCTTCTGTCTACCAGAATATTCATAGTAGTACTTTTTATGGTAGTAAAGAATTGTGAGCAAAGTGAGTACTCGGAGATTGGTGAATGTCACCAATGAATGGAATAGAATGTTGTTATATAATAAGAAATTATGAATAAGAGAGATTTGGAGAAACCCGGGAAAATGCCTACCAACGTATTGGAGCAACAGAAATAGCCAGAGCGGTGAGGGCTGCAGTGACCGCTACCAAGATCAGTACAAGGAAGCTTGAACCGTGAGCAATTGAAAAGCCAGTAACGGTCCTGGCAAGCAGATAATGAAACATACCTCACGCCTCTTAGCCAAGAAGTGGGAGACTACTAAGGTGGAATGTGCTGTGCACTGTCACATGCAGTCATGATGTCAGGTGCTTAATTAGGCCTTATTTATTAATTTATCCTTATATATTTCCTTAATTATTCTTGGTTATAAATTCCAAGAGGCCACTCTGTGTGTGTATATGTTTATGTGTTATTTCCAGAAATGAATAATATCAAACCATAAGGCATCAATAAACTTTTTTTTTTAACAAGTCACAAATGAATCCTAACTTGTGGCCCACATCCTCTCTCGCCTTCCAGCCTAAGCCCCTACAGCTATGACGAAGGCTGCCTCTCCAACAGCCAGGACCACATCCCACTTGCAGCCCTGCCCCTGCTGGCAACCTCGTCACCCCAGTACCAGGAGGCAGTTGCCATGGTGATTCAGCGGGCTAATCACGCCTACAATGAATTCCTCAAGTCTCAGGATGGCATGACCTTCAATGGGCAGGTGAGAGAGAGGGGAGGGGAGGGTGAGTTGGAGCAGGGAAAGAATCCCTCATGAGCAGGGAGGAAAAATTCCTTCCTCTGGGCTGTCCCAGGGTGATTTCTATTGGCTAGAGGTGGGAGATGGGCCTTTTCTCCACATTCATTTCTCAAACTCACCTGTTTGAGGGCTCCATAGGCCCCAGGGAGCAAATCTGATGCTTGGACTGGGGCTTCTCTCTGTTCTCAGGTCTGCCTGATAGGGGACTGTGTCGGAGGGATCCTAGCATTCGATGCCTTATGCTACAGCAACCAAACTGTCTCGGAAAGTCAGAACAGCAGCCGCCGGGGAAGTGTGGTGAGCGTACAGGTATTTCCCACTACTTCCCCTTCATATACTGTTTATATCAGCCAAAGAGCCCCCAGCTCTGTCCCGAATTCAGTCCAAGCCCCAGCACTGACCATCCCACATGCCAGGAATGCACTGTCTCCCCTCTTCTGCCTCCTGGAGACCTGAGCTTCCTTCAAGGCGTCTCTAGAGTGGCCCCTCCTATAGTTATTCAGTCAATAAGCAGTTACTGAGGGCCACTCATTAGATGCCAGGCCTTTCCTATTCCCTTAGCTGGTTAGTTCTTTCTCTGTCTCTGTCTCTGTCTCTCCCTCTCTCCCTCCCTCTCAAATTAGAATTATAGAATCATAAATCTAGAGCTGGAAGAAACTTTGGGAGAACAATCTCCCTCCCCCTCACACAAATTATAGGTTAGTAAATATGTATATATGATATATATATACATATATATAATAAAAATAAATATAAAAAAATTAAATATATTGGTTAGTAAAGTGAGGTCCAGGGAAGTTAAATAATGTGCATACGGTCACATAGGCTGTGACAGCAGCAGGTTTTGAACCCAGTGGCTCTGGCTCCAAATCCAGGGCTCTTTCTTCCACTATGTTGAACTGCCCCTATCATATCTATATCCATATAAAATAAATATTATTTTCTGTTATCTATATCTGCAGACAAGATGTAGGTATAGAAATAAACTTAAGATATACACAGAGATGTACATATCAACACAAATATAAACATTGATTTAGACACAGAGATGTAGATATTAACAGATATAAACAAACATTGATATAGACATAGAGATGTAGATATCAACT